TCAGATTCGAGTGGATCAAAAAGCATCAGCCCCATATAGAGCATGCTCCTCTCCACCGTTTGAAAGACCTCAGGATGTCATTGCCAGCGCCGGGGCGACAAACTTCAAAACCGTAAGCCCAAGCCGAGTAGCAGTGAATGGCCGCGCACCACGGTCCTTCCGCCAAAGAAGGTTGTGCCTGGTGACACCGGGGTCAGGACCTGAGGCGGGCGATTAATTATTTAAATTCGGTTCTGTCGTTCATCAACTTCAGATTTGCTGTTGAGCCAAGGCACAGCAGGCAAAGTTGTCGAAGAACAAGCCGTTTGAGTTGTAAAACCATCTTCCGCAAGACGCCACAGCTTCGCGACCGCTCTTCGTGACCTTAATTTAAAAGCTTGAAATGTCCCAGGATCGGATTGAAAGTCATTGACGTTTCAGATCATGGTATCATGTCTCGGTCTCAAACACGCTTAAAGCTAATGTGACCAGTGCAGCTCGCGTGTTGCCAGTGCGGCGCTTGGTGGTGTAAAAATAGCCACTCGTGTCGCCGACCGGACCTGAGGTGACAGTGACAGCGCTCAATCAATCTGCTGCAGGTACCATCTGAATCCGACGAATTATTCAGTGATGTCCCCGCCTCTGATGTTGGTATTTAAAGATGGAAACGCGCTGGAACTCATCCGAGCGTGGATGACGAAACTCATCACGGCACCAGGTAGCCATAACTTCCCAGACCCGATTCAGAACAGGCTTCGGACTGATTAAGGCCAAATGCCTGCGAGAGGCGGAGCTATCTTGTCTGACAATTGTAAATTAGTAATAATATTAGATTATTTATTATGTCAACGTTCAGTTCAATGGCAAAGTGGCTTTGCAGCATCAGCCCAACGACAAAGACGCGCATATTATCCGTCGGCGTGTTGCATCTTGACGTGGTGCCGCTCAACCGATGGTTCTCGGCCCGCAGGCCTGCGCCCGGTTCTCGGCCCGCAGGCCTGCGCCGGGAGGTGCTGAGAATAAACCGATGCGCCCGAAGGCGCTTAAATGTTCTCACGGCCCGCCGGCCTGCGCCCTCTGAACCCGAAGGTTCTCGGCCCGCCGGCTTGCGCCCGAAGTGCTGAACCCCGAAGGTTCTCGGCCCGCAGGCCTGCACTCGAAGGTGCTGAACCGAACCCGAAGGTTCTCGGCCCGAAGGCCTGCGCCCGAAGGTGCTGAACCCGAAGGTTCTCGGCCCGAAGGCCTGCACCCGAAGGTGCTGAACCCGAAGGTTCTCGGCCCGAAGGCCTGAACCCGAAGGTGCTGAAACCGAAGGTTCACTCGGCCCGCCGACATGCACGACCACCCGACGGCGCTGAACTTGATGCCAGGTTCTCGGCCCGCAGGCCTGCGCCAAGGGCCCTGTTCTCGGCCCGCAGGCATGCGCGCGAAGCTGTGCTGAACTTGAACTCGGGCCTGCAGGCCTGCGCCCGCAGTGCTCAGCCAGCCAGGGGGTCCAGGCCCAGGCCTGTTTTTAATGTATGACTTTAACATTGCCTGCCGGGGCCTGCAGGCCTGTGCCCGCACAATAAGTGACCAGGACGAGCTGATGACGAGGAGTCTCTGAGCCAACTTCAGCAGTCATATATATATGATGAAGACACAATTTATTATATACGAAGAACCCTTCTCTGAATCGCCACAGAAGCCACAAACTAACTTGAAAAACTCAGAGTCAAAGCAGCAAACTGCTTCTGCTGGGCTGGCCAGTCTGAACCAACCACAGAGCAACCAGGCAACGTAATAATGCTACAACATCAGTGGCAACATACCCTGACAGAGCACAACAGTGCAACCGTGCAACAACAAAACGTCGCCCAGTACCGCAGAAACATCTGTTGTGTGCACCAGAACACACAAGGTGTGTCACAGGGGTGCCTGTGTTGTCTCCAGATGTTTTGTGCCGTATGAAACATTTCGTGTGCTTCAAACGCAGCTCACAACACATGTTGTGCTTCCTCTCCGCCGCGCATGTTGTGCACACCGCACTGTACAGTGTGTGTGTGCTTCACATTGCTTGACAAAGGAATAGCCTCACGATAAGCCCTAGTGACACCCACTTCTTTTCACTGACAAACAGCGATGTGTTTGGAAGGAAAGACGCGCCCAAGCAGACCAGAACATCCCACAACTGATGCCCTCAACAATAGGCGGAGCAAGAGAACACTTGACTCCTTTCACGCCCACTTCTGCTTCCAGCAACAGAACATGCTGTGTGCCGTAACAGAACATACCATCATAGTGTAACTAAAACACTTTGGGGCACTGGGACCCACTGCCTGAGCATACCCAGGGGTTCTGTCCTTCTGGACCTCGCGTGATGTGGCCGAGACTGGTTTGCCGAACACACAACATGTGCTGCGGTGCACACAACATGTGCTGCAGTACTCACAACATTCGCTGTGCTACTCACAACATGTGTTGTGGTGCTCGCAGCACATGTTGCGGTGCCCGCAAAAACACAGCCACACAGAAACCACACGGTGAGCACAGGCAAGGCAAGGAAACGCGGCAGAGATCGAGGGGGGAAAAACAAAAGGTGACTGGTCTTCCGTTGTTGTTGTTGCTACTGCTGGTGCTGCTGAGCACTGTGATGAAACCAAACCGTGGCAGCTGTTTTGACCTGCGCGAGCTGGTTGGTTTGCTTTTCGCCCATGCTGTTCTGCAATGGCTGCAAGCGGGGAACTTTGGCTGCACACCCCGGCGCACCAAGTGGTCAACCTCGTTTGCAGCCTTCTTGTTTGCCGCACAGGCGTGGAACAGGCTCGCGGAAAGAAATACAGCGCGCTGCCAGCTTCTTTTACCAGCCTGCTGAACCTCCCGGTGAAGCTTGAGTTTGGGGGGAGGTCAGCGAAAGCGAGCTTGGACCATCAAGACCTTGCTCCAGAAAATGAAGGTGTGTTTCTGGCCCCTCGGCTGCGCAAAATGTGTGTATTGTTTTAGTGACCCACTGCCATGTAACAATAAAAGGCATCCTACCACAAATACAACACCGCGTTCACACTTAACTTAACGAAGACGAGGGGACATGGCAGTGGCCCAAGAACATCTTCACGAACTGCAACCCGGAGAAGACATGAAATAAGTTTTTGAGTTGTGTGGCTTGGAACAAAGCTAAGTTGTAAAAGTTCGTTCTGGGGGTTGCGCCCCCCCAGGTTACCTCATGACGTTGATGGCCACAGAGAAGTTTGCAAAAGCTCTCAACGATCTGCTGTATGGATATTGCGTTGAGCATTTTCTTTTATTTCATATTCGGTGTATATTTTTTCTAAATATAGATGTATATATAGGATTTGCGGGTGGAAGCAATTTTTTCGATTATTCAAATTTTCATTTTCTTATATATAATATACGTGAAAATGGTATAAGTTTATTACTGAATTGAATATTGCTTTTGGAGCAATGATTTTACTCTAATTGTAGAATTTTCTTTATGATATACAAACTTTTGATATATATATAGCTATATTGTATCCAGCATTGCATATATTTTTATATTGCATACTGATAAGAAAAACTGACTGTTGCTTTAATTTCTGAACTAGGAAAATTTATTCTAATCTAAATATGGTTGATATCGAATACAATAAAATATTTTAAGCACAAAATTTCAATTGCCATTGTAATAAGTATATATAAACTATAGGAAATAGCAATGATACATTAATTGTTCTCCGGAATTCCTTCTTAAAAGCAAATATTATCATGCCAGAATCAAATGAATACAAAAATTACTAAATTTTCTTTTTGCAATGTATATTTAATTTCGAATTAGACAAGGTGTTTAAATCAAAACTATGTAGTTCTGTTTTCGAAGTTGAATATAACTTTACTATAAATATTCATTCTAAATTTTGATTTTTTTGTAGTCTCAAACAAATACATAAACATACAAAATACTTGATTATATTAATGATAGTGAACTGAAAACTTTCAATAGAAGAGTACAATATCATAAATTTAGCATGTTTAGTCAAAAACGAAAACCAGTTATTCGATAAAACTATATTTGAACTTAGGAAAAACGTATAAAAATGAAAAAACCAAATTAAAACATAAAGACTGAATTTCACATGCATATATTTAGTAAACATAGTATTTCATGAATGCATTCATTGTTCATAGGTATGTATAATATACAACATATAAGCAAAAAATAGCATTATAAGTTCAAAATACTATGACAAGTACAAATATATTGCATTAGTTTAATATAATTTACAGATATGGAACAACCATACATTGTTTAACTCCAATAGTTTACTTTTGCATAACATGTAAATAGCGATTTCAAAGATCAAACTACTACATATACATATATATATATCGTATATTTTGAAGAAGTAAATACATAGATGGAATGAGTTTAGGTACAAAACAGAATCAGTATAGAATCGAAAAGTAGTTTTAAATAGAAATATATTTGAATAATCTATTCAAATCTGAAAATAGGAAATATGTTTTCATGCCATAAATATTGCGTAGGAAATGCTTTAGGTTTGTATATATATATACAAATAATTAGAAATTGTTAAGATACTGTTCGATTGAACTAAGAAATTAATTTCCATTGATTTTATATACTGAAATTATTTGTATATATTTCTGATATCATTTTTCAATAATCGATTCTTTGTTATCGAATACTAATCATGCTAGATATAATTCATTAATGATATGTACTAAAATTTCTTGAACTTATCTCATGAATTAGAAAGTGCATTTTTTGCATATCGTATCGAGAATGACAATTTTTACAAAACAAAAATGATAGTAAGAACATATATACGAGAATGTTTTCTAGATTGTCCTTTTCCAAATTAGATTTTGAATTCGTGTTATGAATTGAACATGGTCTGGAAATATCTTCCGGGGTCTTTCTGGGGTAGCGCAAATTCCAGTCCCAGACAGGTTGTGTTTGGGTATCACCCCAGTTCGAGAGCTTCGACGGACGTTCACCTTCGTCGCCAGAATCTCCTGAGGTCGAAATCCAGCAGTTCTGCGGCGATGGGCGCCTGGCAGAGGGCGCCTGGGAAGATGGATGGAAGTGGTCTTTTTATTCGAGCAAACGGAGGATCAAGGGCCTAAGTGGCTGAGTTGAAACCAGCAAGCAGTTTTTGTTCGTGTTCAGCAAGAGCGGAGACTCTGGACTGCCGTCCGCGCTGCGTAACGGAAGGCTTGAAAAGATTTTTATGTTTGCAAGTGGGCTTGGGAGAATCACCACACGGATGATCCATGCAACGGGGATGTGGGCATCTTTTGGTTTGTATCTCACGACTCATTTTACTCCCATGGTAGTGGCGGATTAGGACTCCCAAATGGGGTAAAAGGAGTCATTGGAAGTTCGGGCTTTGTTTGGGTGCTACAACTGTATGATTAATTTTGGAGAAACTCTGAGAACTATGGAGCAGACGCTTGAGATATCATAAGAAGATGAGATGCGAAACATGTTGCATCAGAACAAGGAACTTGTTGATGGGGTTGTTCAACCACTCAATCGGAAGATGGGCATATATGTAGCATGTTCCATATATTTCCCGTACTCTATCCTACATTCTCCAGCTACATAAACCTTTTCACCAAAGCTAATCCAAACACTTTCTTGCAACCCCCAATCCATTAGCCTAAACAAACCTTAAACCTTGAAGGCTTCTCAAGGGTTGCTTTATGGCGATGCTTCACACACAGCGACCTCCCTCCAGGCCTGTACAGTTCGAAAGGTGAGCCTCTGTCTTGACATGTTTTGACGAGATGTGTCCCAGATCTCCCAAAGAAATTGCCAGATCTGCCCGTTTCGTTGGGGGATACTTTTTCTTTTGGCTGTGACAATCCCAAGAAAATACCGAGCTCCACAAAATACCAACTTTCCCCACAGAGGTTTTTCAGGACCCTATAGACATCTATAGACCTATCTCAGTTGGGTACCCCAGGTAAGTAGGGTCCCCCCAAAACCAGGTCACTGGATATATAATATATATATATATACCCTAGACTGCCAAGACCATTTAAAAAATGTTTGACCTGGTTTTTGTAGTGTAAAATCCCTAGTTGATTCGGTAAAGCATATTAAATTAATGGTTGTTGGACGCCTAGGGTATATATACCCCCTTGGAATCTCTGACTCGACCGACATTTTTTCACGACGACTTCGTCTCGCACCGCGTCGGCCAAGACGCGGCACCGAGGCTTCCTTGGCGCTCTCGGAAGCCGAGCTCCAACAGCAGCTCCTGTCCTTCGAGGTGTCGATGCGACGGGTTGCCTCGCGTTTGGTCCAAGTGGAGTGTTTCCTTGCGACAAGCGGACGTTCGGACGTTACTAGCAAGAATGCTACTAGTAGGCATGGCCTTCAACCTCCACCAAATAGCGTCCTTCTTAGTACATAGGTTGGAGCCTACAAATAATTCGGTGCCAAGTCCTTAAGGCCCATATAATCATAAGCATGAGCAAACCTGAGGGTAGCTCTGTCCTATGGAATACTTCTACTGGAATAACAACGCTCACCTTCAGAATCCTTTCTTGCCTGGCAACCTGGCAACTGGCCCGGTTGTCGTCTGTCTCGGAGGCCTTGGGGCACGCGGCAAGGTCCATCAGAGACTCTGCAGACAGCGGCGCATCGTCCATCAGTGGCCCAGACTCCGGCGATGTTTGATCGGTGGGTGTGGATGGCGGATGGTGAAGTGAACTTCCCTTTCCTTAGAGGAACCATGTGGAACCCTTTCAGATGTATTTGTTGGGGGATGTGCATGTGGTTGCGTGTCTTTCAAAACAAAGGTAATAGAGCTTCAAGTATGGATGACCAAAGCTTGGAGTACATTGTGTACTATATAGGACTACTAGTGGTTCCAAATTCCAAAGCAAACGCTTTCAAGCTTGTAATCATGCACGGTTCCTATATGGTTGAGTCACAGTCACGCGCTTTTCGTTTTTTCGTTTTCCCCGGTCTTTCGCAGTGTCTTTCGCGTCGGAGTCCGACCCTAAAACCCGTGCTGAAGCGTCGGCGTCGGTCGTGAGGTTGTGTTTTGATTTGATGTGCTCGTTTGAAATTTCTCGAAGCAATCCCGGTTTGGAGGGAACCGGGTGAGGGCTGTCAAGCAGGACCCGACGACAAACAGGTCACCAATGGTTCGACCTGTGAAATTTCCAACAACCCTCAACATCCTCAACTAACAGCCTGGCCAGGAGGGTGCTGTCAACTCACAGAAGTGTCTGGGGTGTGCCTTAGGTCGACGAGACGACTGGAGCCCGGAACGATGCTTGTGGGCGTCCCCAAAAGCTCGAGGAGTGGAGATGGGAAGGATGGAGACGATTGACGATTGCTCTGGGGCGGGGCTCACATTGTGGCAACTGTGGCAATCATCCTCATGTTTAAGCTAGCGGGCTGAGAACCGCGCTAGTAGTCGTGCACTTTTTATCAAAGCAATGCTCATGTTGTCACACGTTGCGTCAAAGTCAGAACCTTTCATTTTTACTGTAAATAGCAGTGTTTTCTCATGTTTCCTCCGTGGCAAGAGCTTATATGTTTATGTTGCCTTCTTGCATTGTTTGCTGAAATTACTTGTGTTTCCGATTTTTACGCTACTTTTTCGGGACGGTTAAATATGGTTTTCTACATGTTTTTTTTCAGGGTGAGCTTTCATCGAGAACACTGGACATTCGCGCAGGGTTCCTCTTGGACTCTTGGACCTTTGGGACTAGGGTTCATAGGGGGGTGGGGGGGTGGGGGGGGCAATGACGTTTCGGTCCGCGATGTCGAACGTCTTCGTTTTTTACATGATACATCTTGGGTTGCTCCTGTCGCTGTCGCTGGTTCAAGTTTTTTTTCTAAGAACAGGCAGCATGGCTGCCCTAAGTGGTTGCGGTGCGGTCTGCCTCGTGTACATCTTGTTACTTCGTTTTCCGGGTTTCCAGGATGTTGACTGTTTAGATGGTCATTTGCAGCAGTGGTTTCGTGTTGACCCTGACTTCATAGACTCTCTGTTGCAAACCTGGTGTTTGTCCGTAGGAGGGGATCCCCTGGCGGCCGAAGTGCTGTCCACGGTGTGCATCGATGACCAGTGGCTCTTTCACGTGGATCTTTTAGATCAACGTGTACCTCTACTGTCTCTGCTATGGTGGACGAAGTTTGAACACTTGTTGGAGACGAGGGAAGTCACGGAGACAATAGTTGCAGCTTTACTAGTTTTGTCACACCGTCTGGGTCGCGCTTCATCGGCAATGTTTCGAAGCATGGATGCAGCGCCTTGCATAGCGCCAGAGATCGCTCCCAGCACTCCTGCACGTGAGCCGCGCACGGCCGATGCTTGCATACCTGCTACTGAGTGGCAAATACTTCGTGGAATCAGAAAAGAAAGATTTTTGAACGACTAATTCGTTTCGTCCGTTCGCACAATCTGCAGGTTTTGTCTTCTCCTGAGATGCACCAGTGGCAACCACAGATTTTGCTGGACACCCCATCTTCGGAATCTGACAGGTCGGATTCTTCAGTATTCCGAACGGAGATGAATCTCCACATCACCTTCAAGCAAAACTGAAGTATTGGTGGCAGATCTCCAGAGAGTGGGTGCCTGCGGATGCATCTGCCCAGGCCGGAAAGTGGTGCATCAGCTGGAATGATGTACTGTTGCTGATCCCTTTGTTGTCGGACGGCCATCTGCGCAGCTTGGGCGCGACAACCTCTAACGAAATGGAGGGACGAGAGTGGAAAAAGTAATTACCTCCAAGTTTTGGGATTGATGCAACGGCCGCCTGACAAAGCTACTTCCGAAGATGCACGTCAGGTGCACCTGTATAGCTTAGGTATCGTTTCTGCAAAAGCAGGAGGTAAACCGCCGCCTGAATCGAAGGAACGCATTTTGCGTTGCAAGGCCATGGAGGACATTGCTCCCCAGACCAAAGGTTGGGCCAAAACGGTTCTGGTGACGGATGGGGCTCCAGCATATGTAGCTTTGGCTAGGCAGTTTGGACTGGCGCACTTGTCTTGCAACCACCGCCAGGGAGAGTTTAATGTTGTCAAGAGAAGAGGGCCACAGCCGTCGCTGGATGTCAACACAGGTTCCATTGATGGGTTTTGGGCTCGTGCCAAGATGGCAATTCCCACATCCATGCACACACTCATGTCCAATGGTCAGGTCAACCCCCAAATCTTCAAGAGTGTCCAAAGGTACTGTTGGAGGTGGGAAAACACGAGTAAAGGTTTGATGCTGTGTACAGGAAACACCGTTTCAAACATCCTTGGACGCTGACGGGAAAATCGTCCGAAGGCAACGCTTGGCTAGACAAGTTTGAATTTGTGTTTCGCTGTAGCGAAATGACAGAATGCCTTCAAAGACCCCCGAAAAAAAGTGTAAATTTCATGGCTGCGTTTGTGAGAAAATGAGTATTTCGCTACAGTGAAACGCAAATTTTGCTTGAAAACCATTGGAAATGAGACGTGCAAGACTTGTTTCTACTTAGTTGAATGTGCCGAAACGCAGGTTTTGAGAGGTTTTCGAACCCAGTGGTTGAAGGTTGACAACCCAAAAAACGCAAAAGCGCAGGCGCAGTTGTCAGCCCGGCCGGATGTTTAAGGACCATGACGTTAGGAATATATATATATATATATGTATGGAACCCAGAGGCTCATTGGACCCTCATAGCTAGGGTTTTGACCCTCGCAACCAGGGTTCGGGACCTCAAACATGTAGCAGTTGGTTCGGGTCCATGAGCCCCTGGGAACACTGCAATGTCACAAGCTGTTTGATTGTGCCATAGACTCCCATAGACCAAAGATTGGGCTGGTCTTCTTGAAAGCTGCTTGAACCAGCACTCCACTCTAGGCCCATCTGCTCCAAGTTCAGAGCTTCCTTTCCATTCAATTCCTTCCTCTACCCCACCCCACCCAACCAAATAGCAATGGCCTCCCTCCCAAGAGGGGGGCCTCCAAGCAGCCAACCTCACCAGCCAACCTCACCGTGCTCCCTCGGCCAGCCAATGTATCGTGTGGCGTCTCGTGTTTGCAGGAACGGCCCCCTTGGAATTGTCACTCTCCTCCAGCTCTCAGCTGCAGACCTCGCCCCTCGGGCCAGCTGTCGAAGGAGTCGACCTGTTGGGGGGGGGGGCACGAATGACCCAGACAGCAGTGGATCCCTCTACAGACTAGTAACCTGGGGTAGATCAGCAACCTCTAGAGGTCCTTTGACTGCCTAGATGTGCTTAGTAAAATTCGGGGAATGGAGGAAAATGAGCTCCCGACCAGCAGTTCAAATGTCGGAAATGGTACCCAGACACTCCATGTATGGCATATTTACATATCCATTGCCTCCAAAAACCACCCCAATGTAGGTGAATATGCCAGTCCCATGGAGTGTTTGGGGTATATATATCCCGGTCGACCATGAGCGGATCATGACCTTTTGGGGCTGTCTACTGTTGGACAAGACGCGACTCACACTTGTACGACCCAGAGGCGATGGAGGGACGCGTGAAAAGTAGGGGTCTGGGGTTTCTCACCAATCTCTACCCTGGGAGTCAAAGACCATTAAAACAATGGTTGACCTGGTTTTTGTATTGTAAAATCCTTGGTTGATTGGGTAAAGCCTATTAAATTAATGGTTGTTGGAAGCCTAGGGTCTACCTACCAGCATCATCCTGTCTGGGGTTTCTCACCCTACCCGGCCCTACCCTACGTAAACAGGTCGACAGGGCACCCGGACAGGAAGTGGGCCTAAGAATTTCAAACATAGTATTGAGGGTCCGGCCCCAAGATAGAAGGTCCGACCCCTGCCATGGAGGGCCCAACGATTCGTAACGGTAGAGCGACCCGGGACCCTCTCATATGCAGGGGTCGAACCCGAAACCTTTGGAGGGGTCTGGACCCTCAAAACCCGTTTTGAAGGGACCCGGACGGGCTGAACGGAGCGTCTGGGTATGACCATATTTTGGGTCCAACACTAGAGGTCACAACTGTCACAACCGTTAGGTTTCGGGGAACCTGTGAGGGCTGGGGCTGTTTGGGCGCTGTTTTCCAGGTTCAGGAGGCTCCCCAGATCAAACGCTCATCCGAGGTGGACGCTCGAGCAGCGCAAGAGCGGAAGCCAGGCCACGGCGTTGGACGTTGGGATTTTGGGGCCCTTTGTTCGTTCTCCCGATACACTCCATCTCTGCCCAGACGCTCCAAACAGGCCTTGGGCCCTCAAAACCACAGGGATTGAGGGTCCGGACCCCTCCATATGAGGGTCCGACCCCTGCATATGAGGGTCCATGAGCGTCTGGGTGGAATACACATTGACCCACCCATGGCCCACCCCAATGTATATCAGGCATATCTTCCAGTCCCATGTGTCGTGGGTCTTCTCTTCCCTTTTCACCAGCCGAACCGGCGCGCGCGCGAAACGCGCCTTGCATCGACTCGCCGTCGCATGTCTCACTCCCTGTGCGGCTCCGCCGCGCCGAGGATCTGGATGTAGCACTCTCCATGCTCATCCCCAAGGCCCGCGGGACACGGTGTATTTCAAGGGCCCCAGATACGACTAATGGGACTGGTTGACCGATCAGGCCAGGGGTGGTAGGAAGGAGGTCAGTGGGGCGGCGACCTGGAACTTCCACGGCGTGCATGTTTTCTGCCGTTGGGCGAAGCAACATACATTTCAGTCGTTTGCCACCAAAAATGCCGTTTTAAAGGCAGAAAAGGGCATAGCTATGAAGACCCAGGTATGGCATACATGGAGTGTCTGGGATGGTTTAGATAATAGATCCAAGAAGCCCGTGCTTTTTGCCAGGACGGTGTCCAATGGCTAAGGATCTCCAGACAGGACACCCATTCTTGGATGGTACAGGTATATAGATGTTCTTTTACCCGATAAGGATCCTTAGACCCTCCATAGAAGGGGTCGAGCCCTCTATAACAGGGGGTTTGTAGCCTCAAAACCCTTAGCTGTTTAAAGAGGATTTTAGAAGCATTTGATACATACTCGAACGGAGCGTCTGGGTAGGCTATTTGAAACACCCAGGTTCGCTCCCTTCAGAGTCCGACAGGGCCCGAACCAAAACCGGTGAAAAGGCCCCTGCAACGGAGTCGGGTGTCCGAACTCGCAACGGAGCAACGGGTCGCGTGACCAGGCACATGGTCAATGACCAAACATGACCAAACAACCAACCAACAGAGGTTTTTCAGAACCTGAAAAAGACTATAGTCCCAGTTGGGTAGTCCAGGTAGCTTGGTCCTATCAGGTCACTGTCCTGTCCACCTCTGGAAGGTTCGAAGGGGTTCGCCTCTCGAGACTTTCGGACCTCAGAGCCAATCCGTCCGAAAACGACTGACGAGACGTTGCCCCGCACCACCACGGGGCGAGAGTTCGACGGACCCCGATGCAGCGGCCTCCGCAGATCCACCTACCCTGACGCGACCCGGGACCCGCCCCTCGAAGCCTATGCAGGGGTCGGACCTGAATCGGGACGGGTCAGGGGTCTGGGGTCGACCCAAACCCGGTTTTGAGGGACCAGTCGGGCGGTTTGGAGCGTTTGGGTAGCTGTAGACTCTCAAAAAAACAAAACTCTCCATAGCACCATAGATTGTAAAGCATTTGCTCTGAGGCCTTTTGGGTGATTTTGGGCGGTTGAAATACTATCCATTATTCATCTGATATATCTATAAGTGTCAAACCCGCTGTCTGTGCCCCACGAGGAGGCCGACCGGAACGCACACGACAACGACCCACGCGAAGGCACCGGAGGAGCGGTGAGCGGAACGGTGAGGGGAACGGTGATGGGTGAAGAAAGGGAAGAACCAAGAGAGGTAGCCAGCGACCTGAACTAGGGCCCTTTCGCTACCTGAGGTACCCAACTGGGATAGTCTAGTTGGGATCATTCAACCTGTGTTGGAAAGGGATGGGTCAGTTTTCACACGAGAGCCATGGCCCGGCGAACTTCTCCAAAAACGAGCATTTCACCGGTGGTTTTCGTTCCCAGTACTGGCAGTGTATAGCCCCTGGGAGTCAAAGACTATAATGGTCTTAGTCTTTGGGTGACCCGAAGTTCGGAATATCATTGACATCAGTCGGTCAAAATATAGTCGAACTGGACTTCTAGGGTTGCTCTAGTCGAACGACACCGACCTCGGACGAAAGATTCCGAAGCTTCGGGACATCGTCGGCCCCCGCAGGGGGGGGGGGGTTCCTCCCATAGAAACCAAGCCACCAGGACCATCCTGGACCCGGGTGTCCTGGCTGAACAATTCTCCAGTCCACCTGGATGATCTAGGATCTCCACAGGTGAATTTACCGAGGAATGACAAACCAATACACTCCATGTGTAAAATACTTGCCTACATTGACCCCCGAAACCACCCCAACTGATCGGCATAATATGGCAGTCCCATGGAGCGTCTGGGAAAGGAATGACAAAGGTGTGACATCGTAGTTGTATTGAGATCTCTGAGTTCTTGCCAGCACCCGAAAAAAAACACAACCCTAAGGATCCGCACCCTCAAAAACAATGGTTTTGAGGGTACAATGAGGGTACAAACCCTTGTTATAGAGGGTTCGACCCCTTCTAAGGAGGGACCAAGGATCCTTAGGGAAAGAGTAAAAACAACTAACAACAGCTCACCCATTGAGCCCTGCGAGTATGCCCTTGCCAGCCCGATGGAGACATGTTGCAGGGCTGGCAGGGCTTTTCTTCAGATGTTGATATTCGGTCTGCCCTAGAAATTCCGAGTCCGGGCTCGGACAGGCCACCGAAACGCAGGGGTCTGGACCGGAACCAAACCCTACCAACACAGGTTGAATGACCCGAACTAGACTATCCCAGTTGGGTACCCCAGTTACGGGCCCTGGTTCAGGTCGCTTAACCTCTCTTGGTATGCTTTTGAGGGTCCGGATACTCTCCGGGTGGAGACTTTGGAGCTCGCTGTTCCTCTGTAAGGATCCCAGGAGCTCGGACCTACCTCCACCTTCGAACTCGGAACCCGACACCTGTGAACTACAGGGTGATGTACAGGCCCCGAACTAAACCCGTAGTGTTTGAGGGTCCAGATCCTGAGGGTGGAAGCTATGTGAGGTAAGTGCAGGCGGTGAAGGGGTCTGTGAAGGGAGTGAAGCAAAAAAGGAAGAGCTGCTGAGTGAGGGTTTGTGAGCTGCACAGCTTTTTTTGGAATTGAACTCCACTCGTTCGAGGGCAAGTGGGCAGTTGATTTGCTCAATAGGGTGGAAAGTCCTCTGCGTGGCACAGAGCCGAGTCAAAAGGCAATTCACCAAGAAGGTGTTCTGTGTTCTACAAAAGATTGCATAACATTGTTTGGAAGTGCAATTTCCTCTATGAAGTTTCCTTCACCTTCATGTGTGTCACATGTACTTGGTGCAGCATTTCCAAGAGCACGAGTAGCAATGAAACACCTCGAACATGTAGAAATCTCCTTATATATACCCAGGGCTTCCAAAGACGCAACAATGCCTAGTCGTTCTCGGAAAGACGAACCTTTGTCACTGGTATATGCTATCACGACGTTTCACGGGCTTTCACGGTCTCTTCTTTTCACCGCCGTTGCTTGGCAGAAGCGTTCAGCCTTAGATGAACTAGAATGCATGGCCGAAACATAACATAGCAACGATAGTGACGATAGGTTCAGGTCGACGTTTCTAGACCCCTCCAAGTGCAAGCAGAAAGCATCTTCATATTCAACTTGGCATGCAGCATCCTGCCAAGCAGTTCTTCCCCAAAAGAAACCATTTCACTACATGAGCCAACCAAGCTCTCCTGAGCTTCGTAAGTTTCAGCAACCACGAGGAGATGTATCGAGGATGGCTTCGAAGCGCAATTTCTTAGTTGACTATGCACCGAAAACATGTGCATGTTTCTTACCACCATCCTCATGCGCATGCCATGCTGCTGCCAAAGCTCGTTTGATCCAGAGCATGTTGTCCTCATCGAGGAAGGTGTGCTCGAAGCGCGGATTGGATTCTTGGCTGCGCAAAGGTGCGAGGAAGTGGATTGAGTCTACTCACACCAGGCTTTATAAATCTTTGACAGGGTACTGTACAGCTTGATTGCCCTCAAGATGTGGCCAAAAGCCTCAGCTTGATAGCTGATTTGAACCACAAGGTTTAGTGTTACTGAAAAACACCAAGTGCTGCACTAGGTTCATGTATACCATACGTGCCAAGATACATGTAGTTTCGGCTTAATCAAGAAATGGAGCTTGTTTTGCCTTGAAGTCTCACCAACAACGATGAACTTGTTCTTAGGTTGCACCTTTCCGATATGAAGCCAAGCTGCTCGAAACTCATTTTTGACAAAAGCAAGTGAGCGCGGCAGAACATTATTCCCTCCTCATACAACTTGTCGGCTTGAAACCTGTTCCTGGGCTGAGAAGGAAAATAACTAAAATAACACAAAGACCAGTAAACTTTCACACCTTTTGAAGACTACCCAACGGTGTCAACTGCTAAAGTAGGGGATCCCACCAAGGCTCAAGAACCGAGGATACCGCTCAACTAGCGAGAACCATCTTGCCAATGAGGACCTGAGCAATTCAGCAGTAAGCCTAGTATCAGATAGTATCAGTATTGCACACTGTGCGCAAAATCAAACTCCATGTGCACCTCACTTTTTGCAGACATGTTGCACACACACACTCATGGCAGGAATGCGTGAATCTCTGACACGATTGCGGGACGCTTCCACCAGCTCATATGCTAGCCATTCAGTGATGCAACGAGAGTTGTACCCTTTGGCTGCCAGCAGCATCTCCCCAGTCTTCTTGCACACCTCAAGCCATCAGCAACGCTACCAACTCATAGTCCTTTCGCAAAAACATGCACCTCCTACCACCATTATAGCCCTCAGGCCAAGGCACCATTTTCTCTGTGAAAGGCGGCTGGGAGCAAGAAATTTTGCGAGATTTGCAGAATGAGGAGAACGCATTGTAGGCCGTGTCAAGCCTTTGCTGAACACTTTCTGCAGCACTTCCAAAGTGTTCTTCTTCAACAAGCGTCATCCTGGGCAGTAGCATCAGGTCTGAGGAACAGTTGCTCAAAGCAGGTGAAAGTAATAGATCACACATCACACACGCACATGGTCCACAAGCATCAAGGCAAGGATCAGCGAAGAACCGTTCACTCCCAGACACACTCCAATGTTTAGGACGTGCATAGAGCAAAATTTGTGAAGTGTGTGATGCCAATTCCGAAGACATATGATTGGACCTCACACACAGAATCACACAGAAAAACACCTTAGAACACGCACGTTGTTCAAACCCACTAAGACACATGTTATTGTTGCAAGATGAAGCCTAGTGGCTGGCCCCTCCATGGGTTTCAAGCTGCTCAACCAAGAATCGATTCAAATTGTACGATTTGCACCATAGAGCAGACGTCCTGGATTCCAAATCAGTATAACGATCAGTGCCTCGCAAATATGATGGGCACAAGAAGCACACTGGGGCACGAGATCCTGCTTTCCACGAACTGACAAGTCGGAGTGACTGCTTATGGTACAGCCAGTCAGCCCGAAACTCGGTGACACTGAAGCGCATACCATTGCAAATGGGCGTTCCAGCCCTCGCCTTTTGCGCCTCTGTCAGCCCCTCGTTTTGGGGCCCTGAATGTGGGTATAATCCATCATGTAGAAGATTTAAGCTCCAAACCACTCTCCGATAGACTTCATTCAGTGTCTCATGCTTGTAAAGGTGATCTTCCCTTATGGCAAATATGAGCCACCGAGTGGCCCGGCAGCTTGTCGGTCTCCAAAGGGGGCAGTTCAAAAAAATACCAAGCCATTTTTCTGGAGGGTTGTATGACATCTGGCGGACTTTGCACGCGTCACCAAAAAGTCCAAGCGGAACGTGCTCGTGTGTTGCATCTGAAGCAAGTGCCCATGGGCTCCCCACCGTTCGATGGTGAGACCAAAACTCCTTGATTCTATCCCTGCTAATTTGCAGTCCAGCTTCGCAGAACATGTACCTCACCACTGCAAAGGGCTCCAGCATTTTCAGAGTCACAACTTCGTAGCCATCATTTGTTTTTGGTGCTGCCACAGGTGCCCGAAAGGACACAGTTTCCTCAGGACACGAGCAATGTTAATGCAATGCACCTCACTCACCATCAAAAATAGTCGAAAACATGTCCAGAGAGAAACAACAAAATGAAACGATGCAGAGATGTTCAAATGTCAAGCTGCAACAGGCACTCGAAATGCATTCAAGAAGTCACGAGAAGCATTCCATTTGGAGTATTTACCCAATTTCTGTGTCAATTCATGGCAGGATGATCCACTTTCCTCACACACATGCGCATTCACATGCTTTGCAACATGGGTTAAAGCGTGCAGCATCATATAGCGAGTCTTTTCAACTTTGTATGACACTCAAACTGAAATGCTGTATCAGGTCTCTTTCACATGGGATCGAGCTCCACGCATGGCCCTATCAACGCTAGTAACCTAAGCAGCACGGTTCTAGCTTCTTGTCACTGGAAGAGTTCGGTTATGTGGCAAAGAGATCACATCACTTTGGAATACTTGCTTTTTTCCTGTCGGGATAGGTCAGGTTGATTAAGTTTTATGAGTTGTGTACTTCAACACACATGTTTCTTTCCCTCACTTGGATCCAAGGAGCACCAGCCGCAATATCACCGATCGCATTCTTTGCCACGGAGGCATCTGTGGCACCTGTGCATAGGGTCAAGGGCGCCGCAAAGAAACACAAACTTCAAACGAAGTGGTTGCACATGCATGC